CATTGTCTTCATCATCCTGCTGAGCTAGGCCTTGAGCTAGCCTGTGGCCCAATGCCACTGCCCGCCGCTCCAGCCTGGCCTCCTCAGGCCTGATAGGAAAGGCCCTCAAGGAACATGTCTGGGACCTATCACCCATCTCTGGACACCCCTTGAGTTCTCTGACCCTAGGACTGACCTCTGACCCACCCTTGGACTGACCACTGATTCCAGGACTGACCTATAACCTAGGACTCCTCTAATTACAGAATTGTTTCCTGATTCTAGGACTGCCTTGTAACCCTGGAATTGATTTAGTACTGATCCCAAGCCCTGGTACTGACCCCACATCACTGGTTCTTAATCTAAAGAATGACCCGGTGACCCCAGGTCATCCCCACATACTTACTCCAGCTCCTGGAAGCCCACATTGGAGATGATTAGCTCTGAGCTAGGAGGAATAAAAATAAAAGGAATGAGAGGGCCAGGCCTGACTACAGAGCTGCAAGCAGGGCACCATGAGTCTGAGGGTCACCATATCCAGCAGATACAGGGTACTACTTCTCCCTTCCCAAGGCCTGCCTGGGCTGGGACCTCCAGGCTTTGTTTAGATTGCGGGCAGGGAGTGGTTACCTATTTTGAATGGGTGCCCCAAAGTCCTCCTCTGCCCAGGTTCCAGTTGCACCCTCTGGGGGCTGGTACTTCAGGTCAAGCTCCACCTGGATCTGAAACCAGATACGCAGTGTGTCCAAGGGCTCTTAAAACTGCCCTGAGGCTAAGAGAAACCCAAGGGAAATGCCTTTTAATCTACCTATAAAGAGAGACCCTCTTGGCCTGTATCTGTGTGATTTGTTGTTCCTCTCTGATCTCTAATAATATTGACTACCCACAATCTATTAAGAACTTACCATATATAGGTTACCTCTTGATGGAGCCAAACAGGACTCCGAAATTCTCCTATTGCTCTTAGAAATCCATTACTGTGGCCTTCATAGCTCTGCATGTTCTAGCCCCTGCCAACTTTTTCAGCCCCATCCCTTACGGGATTTGCTCCTGTCCTGCACCCCAGTTATGCTCTCTCAGGGCACATAGGCTTTTGCCTATGCTGATTCTCCTGCTTGGAACATTCTTCTTTCTTATTTAATTCACTCTTATCATCCTTCAGTTCTGAATCTCAAGCACTCATTCCTCAGGGAAACTTTTCTGACCCCCTGAATAGTTCACATCTCACCCACTGTTACTCTCCCAGCCTCCTACCAGCTCTTTTGTAAGACCCAGGAATGGCAATTTTACACTTATTTGTGTGACTGTTTAATGTTTGCCTCTCTCTTTAGACATGAAGCTCTAAGAGAGCAAATCCTTATCTGGCTTTGCTCATCCCTCAATCCTCATTGCTCAGCACAGCTCTTAGCTTATAATGAGAATTCAACAAATGATGATAGACTGAATGAAAAGATCACATTGTATGACTCCACACAATATAAACAAGGAAACAACCTAGAGAAGCTAAATAACTTGTTCAAGTTCTTAGCTGGGAAATGGTGGATCTGAGATTTTTAACCCAGGTCCATTTCTACCAGGCTATACCGACCCTCCATAAAACATCAGGAAAATCTAGCCAGGTACAGGGTCAGGGAGCAGTATGAAACTTCTTACCTTCCACCATTGCCACACCCCTTACACTCAGAGCTGAACCTGGTTCTTGTCCTGTGCGAGACTTCAGCAAGGGCTGCAATGAAATGTGCCCTGGCCGGGAGGCCTTGTTATCACTTCTGTCTGGGGCTTGGATTTTCCCTCTGAGAAATGGAGCCCTCTATTTAGAGGGACTTTCAGGTTTAGAGGTGGCAGGCTGGGGTGGGACTCACCGGAGATACCCGCAGATTCTCATCCACTAGGGCCTCCCGCAGCACCAAATGGCCAGCACTCTGTAGCTGCTGCAAGGAGATCACCAGAGTCCCAAGAGACCTGGGGGTGTGGCATGGAGCAGAAGAGTGACCCAGGGGAGTGGCCCCAAGCCACCCCTAACCCCATCTAGATCTTTGGCTCCCCCAGGCCTACTCACCTGGGGCTGAACACACGGCTGCAGTTGACCACCTGCACAGACAGACACTCCCCAGCCAGTGGAGCCCCATAGTGGGGCCAGCGGAACAGCTGGGGTAGAAGGAACCTTTTGACATGCAATGCTGGGCTGACCCTGACCCCCAGTCCAGAGCCTCTTCCCAACCCTGAAACAGGAGTCAAACTTGGAGGTAACTCTGTGACTAGTCTTTCAAACCTGGAACCAACCTCCCAATATGAGTTTCACACCAAACTAGGGCTGATCTGGGATAACTACTGATCAAGAACTAATCTCCCATCTTGATTCTGACTTGTCCCAAACTGTGTCTGACCTCCCAAGTCTGAGACTGACCCCACCTCCTGAGACTATACCTCTTAAAACCCAGGAATGAGACTCCTAATCCCAGGATGGACTTAGATGGGGCACAGATCAGCTTCTCCCTACCCAGGACCCCACTGACCTCACTGATATCTGCTTCTTGTCCACAGTGAATTCTCCTTGTTTTCTGGGTAAATCCTGCTCAGAATTGAATCTAGTCATTTATCAGCCCATTCCCACACAAAAAAAAAAATCATTCCTCCCAATCCTTGGCCCAGAGCTCAGTTCCCTGGACTCATCCTTAAAGAAAGGTAGAAGATGGGGAGGGAAGGAATTAGAGAGTTGGAGATATTGGGCTGGGTGAGAAAGGGAACAGGCTGTAGAGATGCCTAGAGATAAAGTTGGGGATCTTGGGAATGGAGGAACCAAACCCCCCCTCCATTCCAAAAATCCTGAGAGCACTCCGGCAAGCCTTACCCCGAAAGCTGAGCCTCACTTGTCGGTCATGGGTGCCCGGGAGCCCTGTCAGTCGCCGCACACACACGGTCAGAGCCATTGTCCCAGGGCCACTGGCTCTACCTCTGCCCGCTTGCCCTCCTGCTCACCTGCCCGCACACCTGAATCACCTCTGACGCACTGGACTCACCCAGCAGGTTCAGCGATCCCTGCCCTTTTGTCAAACAGGCCTAGGGGGGTCATAGGTGGAGAAGGAGCCGGAGGACTGAGAGGGATAAGATTTCTTATGGTCAGCTCAGTCCTCCCTGCCTGCACCAGCTTCAGCCTCTATCCTGCATCCTTGTGCAGTAGGAGCTAGGACAGGCTGGGGATGGAGGGAGTGGGAGAGGACAGCACCCCAGTCTGGTCCAGCTAGCCTATGGGGCCTCACGTTGTTCCTTGTTCACCTCTCTGTCCTCAATGCCCAGCTCGGGGTCTGCTTACATTGTAAACTGTCAAAAACACTGACTGAATAAATAGATGGGTTAATAAATTAATCCCCTAGCCCCCAAAATTAGTGCTGTAGGCACTCAACACATTTATTGAATTAGTAGGTGATTGAATGTGTGTCCCTAGCTGGCTCTTAACAGGTGTTCAAAATACTTCTTAAATAGAAGCCAGAGGTCCTTAACTTGAGGTTTACTAGTGGAACCAGAGATGGGCTCCAGGGAGTCAGCAAACCCTTAAAATTCTCTGTAAAATATTGAGTACATGTGCATTTTTCTGGACATAAAACTCCTGGCTAAAGTTAATAACCCTTAAACAGATGTGCAGTACTTTTACTGAATGTATGTAGGAATGAATGTATCTCACAGTCTGAACCTATAGGTGCCAGTAACTATGTGTTGAGTGCATTTCATGGCCATCCACTTAATCATTCTACTTAATGACACCTCCTGTGCAGGCCTTGTGCTATGCCACTTTGGGGGAAGCAGAGCGCAGCCACACAGATGAATCAGACATGTTCTCCATCTTCCAGTAGCTTCATGAACTCTAACATCAAACAAAACCTAGAAAGACCGCAATCCCCATCAGAACAGGCAAAGGTCAGGCTGGGTTGCTCAGAGGAAGGAGGCTAGAGAGACTTCTCTGAGGAGGGAGTGTGTAAAATGGGCTTTGAGGACAGGAGTTGGGCAGAGATGGACACCCAGTCAGTGGGGAAGAATGCAGAGCATGTTTCCGGGCCCTGTGATTTGTTCAGTTTGGCCTGTGTGCAAGGAATGTATTAAACGGCAGCAGCAGATAAGATTAGACCGTCAGAGGAGCTGGGCCTTGCTGTGTGGCCTTGAGACAGACATGGTCCCTATCTGTGCTTCAGCTTTTCCATCTCAGTACTGGGGCTGGTCCTATTCTACTTATTTCCCAGGTGTGAGGTGCTCAAATGTGTTTTGAAGTCTACAAAACACCTGACAAGAGGCATAGGTTGTTCTTTTTCTAAGCAAGGCCCAGGTTAGACCTCGAGGCCTCCAGTTGTTGGGGGAGGGCTTCATTTCCCCATTAGACAGATGAGGACACTGAGACCCAAAGAAAGGCAGATGGGGGACCAGAATTCTAAGTTTGCAGTGACTTGGCCTTTCCATCCCTTCCCAGAGCAAGATATTGATGCTACCTCTCTGGAAACTAATGCTGGCACCTCCTCTCTGGATTGGAACACAGCTTGAGGGCCTTAGAGAGCCTCAACCCCTCTAAGAGCTGCCACTATGATGGTATGTAGGGATATGTAGGTGAAAGAGTACTGGGTTCAAGGGCAGGATTTTGGAATTCTAATCTCTATCCCACACTGTGTGGTTTTAGAAACATCCTTTCCCCTCTCTAGACCTGTTTGTCTAGTGTGCAATGTGCACATGATGTTCTGCATTGCCTTTCAAAGTGTGGTCCTTAATCGGGATCACACCGGTGATTGTTAAAAAGGCACATTCTTGTACCCACTCCAGAACTGCCAAAGTAGAATCTCAAGGTGTGCCTGGAAACCCGAGTTTCTAAGAGCTGCATTGGTATACTGTTGCACAGCAGGAGTCTGTGAACCTCTGATCTCTTGGCTGTGACCAACTGTGATGCTTTATTCTGTTCTCAGTGACTCAGGCAATTGGTCTGAGTGTGGGTATGGTGGTTGGTGGGTACTGAATTCTCACCCCACAGACCCTTGGTGAATGTGGATCTGAGGGAGGGACCCACAGATCCCGAGGTCAGAGCTCTTGGGCCCTCTGACTAAGAGGGGCCTGAAGTGTTTGCAGAGAAAAAGAGACTAAATGCTTTTTAGAAGTGCCATGAATGATCCCCTGCCCCTACTTAGTATTCATTCATTCACAAATATTTAAGAATCTATTACATGCTAGGTCTATCTCGGTGCTGGAAGACACAGCAATGGACAAAACAAAAATCCCTGTCTTCATAAAGTTTACATTCTAGTGGGGGTGACAGGCAGTAAAGAAAGAAATAAGTAAAATGTATAGCATGTTAGTATAAGTGCCGAAGAGAAAAAGCAGGAAGGGGAACAGAAATTCTTTTAAGCCGAGTGCAAGTGTTCTAACGAAGTGCCGTGATGTCATTGCTTGCTTTAACCTGGGAAAGAATAAGAGAGACCGCCATGGCTCCCAGTGACGTCACGACTAGCTCTGTGACACCGCGTCAGGATGTTCCGTAGCAATCTGGTCTCTTCTATGACGTCTGCAGACAAGCCCAGAAACAGGGGAGAGGGTTGGGTCCCGCCGCGGGGCCTGCCGGCTGCATTCAGGCTCCGCGTGGTCCCAGCAGCGTGCACCGGCTGAGGGAGGGCCGAGAGCCTGGACCGCTGCGGAGGCGACTTTGGCGTCCGTGAGGGGGCGGCCGGGAGTCAGGATGCGGCGGAGCTCCCGCCCGGGCTCGACCACGTCCCCGCACAAGCACACGACCAACTTCTACAGCGACAACAGCAACAGCTCAGTGAGCGTCACCTCGGGGGACAGCAGCGGCCACCGGTCAGCTGGGCCGGGGCCCGGGGAGCCCGAGGGCAGAAGAACCCAGGGCTCGAGCTGCGGTGATCCCGCCTTGAGCTCAGGAGTGCCCGGAGGAACCACATGGGCTGGAAGCTCTCGGCAGAAGCCGGCGCCTCGGAGCCACAATGGGCAGACCGCCTGTGGCGCGGCAACCGTGAGGGGCGGGGCCTCGGGTGCGGGCGGGGTCGAACCCGGGTAAGCTGAGGGAGGGGGCGGGGCTGGGCACGGAATCGGGATGAAACTATATTTGGGGACCTCCTAGGGGGTGGGGCCTGTAGGGTAAAGAGGGGCGGTACTAAATACGATGTCTTGAGGGGCGGGGCCTAAGTGCGATGGACGATCCTGGGAAGGGAGGAGAGAATCCTGTGATTGGGTATCACCGAGGAGGCTCGGCCTCGATGTTAGCATGAGTGGCTACCTGGAACTCCCGGCCGCACCAAGACCTGAGGCTGGGGGCGGGGTCTTCTCTTGGGGTTGGGAGTAGTCTTGAAAGCATCTCTGAGGGGCGGGGCCTCCGAATGCTGAGAGACCTGGGATGCGGATGCAGTGGGACCAAAGGCTGAGAGGGTGCCCCGTTTCTGGGCTGGAAAACCTGAGGCCGGGTCCGGGGGGAAGAGTGCGCCTGCTATGAGCAAGGCCCCAATGGAGCCCTTGGGCTCCTGCAGAACCGGCTGGCTCTCCTGTTGTCTCTGAGGAGCAGTTCGACCTTCTCTCGACCCTGGACCTGAGGCAAGAGATGCCTACCCCGCGAGTGTCCAAGAGCTTCCTGAGTATGCGCCAGGCCAGCCCGAATCCCCTCTGACCTTCCGGTTTCCCTCCCCGAATTCCAGTTCTCACCTCTGAGACCCTATTCTCCATTCTCAGACCCTCGCCCATGCTTGAGTCTCAAGGCCCTTCCCTGAGCCAGATCCACCACCTCTGAGCTTCAACTCATTTTCCTTGCCCCCATCTAATTCTCCTAGCCCACTCCTCTCCATCATTCCTCCTCTCTAAGCCGCACTCCCATTTCTGAGACCCCTCTCCTCTCCTCAGGCCTACTTTTCCAGGTGCTTAGCGTGTTGTTATCCCTGCTAGGAGACATGCTGGTCAGTGTGTACAGGTCAGAGGGAGGAAAGGGGGAGCCTCAGGGGCTGCTCTTTTGAGGAGGTGGGGAGCAGGGCCAGACCTGGCTGAGGCTTGAGCCGATTCAGACCTGGTTGAATCGTGTTCACAAGAGCTGGGTCTAGGAGCCTGGGGTGGGGGCTGCGGGTTTACTAGGATCCTGGGACCTCAGCCTCCCTCCGGTTCTTCAGGGAGGTCTGTTCCATCCGCTTCTTGCTCACCGCTGTGTCACTGCTGAGCCTCTTTCTGACAGGTGAGGGGGTGGTGAATTCCCTGGGGCCCCAGCCCTGGATGCTTTGGAGCCAAACTGGGTGCATTTTCTCCTATGTCCCTCAGGGCACTCTGCCTTTTCAGTCCCCCTCAGTCTCCTCCTTCAGGGCACTAATCCATCCTTAGACTCTACCCTCTCAAGCCTCTTCTCCCTCACTGTCAGTTTATACCAGCGAAACCCTCTCCCCTCCCTTTCCTTGAGACCACCCTCCTCTTTCTCCAGCTCTCTGGTGGGGGCTCCTGTGTCTGGTACCTCCTTTGGAAAATGTGAGTCATGGAGACTATGTCCCTGGGTGGGTGGTTGGCAAGCTCTGAACTTGGGGGTTGTGGGGGATCCCCTGGGCTGCTGGGAGTGGGCAGTGCTGGAAGGGCTGAATATAAACAGATTTCTGAGAGATTATGCCCAGGGATGCTTGAGGGTCTCTGTGGGGTTCTGAAGGGCGGGGGGAAGGCAGTCCTCAAAAAGAAGATCCTTTGAGTCTGACTGCTCCCACACTGAAGTCGGACAAGGAGGTGGGTGGGAGCTGAGCAGCCCTTGTACTTTGTCCCTCCCTCCTCCAATAGGAACCTAAGGAGATGCTGACTCTAAGGTGAAAGATGACACTTGGGGTGGGGAATTGGAGGGGGGAGGCTCAAAGGTACCTCTGTGGGGGGCCTTATGGGAAGTGTCTGGGGGACTGGGAGCGAACCACAT